CACTTTGTAAAGAAATACTCACTATAAAAGGAAATAGACATAAAACGAACACACATATACAAATCAATATAGATCATACCTTGCATAATCATCAATGAAACATGGTGGATCTCTGATTTTAGGGTGGATCTCGATCAACCTTCTTCATTTAGCCGGAAAAGATGACAATTCTGAATACAACTATTTGGATTTCGGATCGGCATGCTACAAAGAAACAATCGATCGGGTGTGCCATCGTTGGAAGAGGAAAGGACGAACGAAAATTATGGAGATTGTGCGCTGATTTCTAGGATCCACTATAATATGAGCGAGAAAGAGAGAGGATTGTGTTGTAAAATCCCAGATATAGCCCTGTACGGAAGAAGATAAAGAATAAATAATCTATGAGATCCAACGTTTATATATCATTCTTATTTCTTTCATTAGATCATATTCTCATTTGAACCAAAATCTATATATATATATATATATATATATATATATATATATATATATATATATATATATATATATATATATATATATATATATATATATAATGTCTAAAGTTTAATCAATTTTTCTTTATTGTGCTTAAAATGTAACACTTTTAGTCATTATGCATTAGTTATTATAAAAAAAAATATTCACCATCACTGGACATTATTAAGTGCTATTTAGGGAACAAGACAATTTAAGTGCTATTTAAAAATGACTTAATTTTTAGTGCTATTTAGTGTAAATATTTTTTTAAGATTTGGTAGAAATATTTTATGAGATGGTAAAAAAAATGAAAGAGAGAAAATTGATCTTGTAAGGAAGCACCCAAGTACCATCACCAACTCTTTTAAAAATATCTCCCAAAAGATCTTGTTGAATGGTCTTTTAAAGATGATACGGAGTACGTAGTATGATATAATGGAAACCTTGGGATAAATTTTTTGTAAATAAATATGATATAAATCGAGCTAGGATAAGAATTACCCAAAAATAGTTTGAAAGTAACTTTTTAGTGAAAAGTGGATAAGAAATTTATGGTGACCGGTGAGATGAAGGGTGTTTTGAAATTTGCTTTGAACATAACATTAGTACTATTACATCATACTTTTTTCTAATAATCTATATTTGTCATATTTTATTTTTACTCATTATATTAAGGATAAAATCAAAAGTCAAATAAAACTTATTAACACTTTCTTATTTTTGCATTTGCTCAAAATTGGAACTCTTTTTTAAATGCAGTAATTAACTTGTGAAATTTGCACTGAATAGAACTAAAATATAAGTCATTTCGCAATGTAGGACTTAAACTTTTTTATTCCTTAAATAGAACTTAATAAGGACTAGTGAGAAAAATAATGTACAAGTGATGTTGGACATTTAGTTGAATAATGATTAATAGATAATGATCAATGGTCCTATATTGAAAAATAAAAACATATGATTCTATTTTGAAAAAATCATTATATTTTAGTATTATTTAGGTAAATTAGAGCTTCCCAACCCAAAGTGTGGGCGTGTCCATGGGTACGTAGTCGTACCAGCATAGGGATGGGCCATGCATTAAATCATGCACGTGACTTTACCCATGCGCACGTAGTACGGACATGATGGAGTACATAGTAATATCATTGCTCTGACTATATATAGGACAGCCAGCCCTGCATCTCTCCATCATTATCTTACTGGCTATCAATTCAAAGAAGAGAATTGAGAAGAAAGCCCAGAACTTAATTTGCTTATTCTCACTCACGTAATTCCCCAATTCCCATCCATATCTATCCCACACTATACCATATGGCTTCTTCTTCTTCTTCCCAGCAGAGCATGATGATGATGATCAGTTTCTTCTTCTTGTCTGTGCTTCTACTCTTCTCCCTGCAACTACCCACTGTCTCCTCCAAGCTCCACATTCTGGAGAGCGCCAAGGCTGAAGGGGCAGTCTGCCTTGACGGCTCTGCACCCGCCTACGATTTGGAGGTCGCCCAAGGCCATGGCGACAAGCGGAACTGGGTCATCTACCTCCAAGGAGCCGGATGGTGCTTGAACTCCACCATTTATCAAGCCAAAGACAACTCTATTGAGAGCTGTCGTAGTCGGGCTGCCAGCCGGTTTGGTTCTTCCCGCTACATGAATGCCTCTGTTTTCGGGCATTTCTTTGGCGCTCACTCGAATGAGACTTATTTCTATAAGTGGAATCGAGTGATCGTTAGGTATTGTGACGGGTGCTCGTTTGCCGGTGACGCCGACAAACCCGACCCTGTCACGAAGCTCTACTACAGAGGTGCTAGGATCTTTCGGGCCGTCGTCAGGGACCTGATGGCAAGAGGAATGGAGGATTCTAGCAACGTTCTTCTCGCCGGGGGTTCGTCGGGCGGGCTAGCAGTGATGATTCACTGCGACGGCTTCCGACGCATGTTTTCTATAGAAAATATTATTAGAACAGAACTTGAATGATTTGATTACACATAGATCCGCTATTTATAATAGCTACATGACTATGACCTAATTACGAGCCCAACAAGAATGAGCCCGTTAACAACAAACCCTAATGCATTCCCTAACATTTTCTGCGGGCGTTCGGGTGAAGTGTCTCGCTGACTCTTCCCTCTTCGTCCACGTGAAGGACCCCATCCGTGCCAAATTCTTCGACACTGTTTTTGGCACCTTGGTGGGGATGCAGCGACCGGATGCTGCGCTACCCGCCCGGTGCACTTCCAAAAACCGTGCGAAGACGTGTTTCTTCCCCCAGAACCTGTTACGGTACATCGAGTCGCCGCTCTTCATTGTGAACCCGGCGTTCGATTCGTTTCAGGTCAGAAACACGTTTTCGGAGGACTTGCACGACCGGATCAAGTACCGTAAGGTCGTGACTCCGAGAGAGATGGCGTTGCTCCGTGATTTCAGGCGGCAAACAATTGCGGCATTGCCCCCAGCGAGTCCCACGAATGGATATATAATCACATCCATATTCAAGCATAGCTTGGCTTCGGGCATCGGGTATAAAGGACCCATGTTTGCCGACCGGAAATCTAAGTCTTTCGAGAGCGCCTTTCTAGACTGGTACTTCGACCGGGCGCGTGTTCATTTGATCGACCCTACGGACAAACCCTTTGTTTCAGAATAAAAGCCAATTAGTATGTACTCCGTATTTCTTTATTATTATTAGTATGTGTTGATGTGTTGTAATTGTAATGGTACTAATGGAATTACAAACATTGTGTCTTCTTTATGTTAAGATTGTTTGGTTTTATTGTGTTTTGTGGCTATTACTCCGTAGTAAGTTAGACGCGCGCTCTTCATTGAATTCAACTCCTTACTTGTTTACTGTGCTTGTTACTACGTACTTTATAAGTTTGATGTTCTCTTTTCACAAAAAAATAGATATAAAAAAAAATAAAAGTAATGTTCTATGCAATATGCATATTAAAAAGAAGAAATAATTATTTTATTAAAAAACAAATTAATTGTTTCGAGAATAATGAGTGCCGCATCAAATATGAATATTTAATTTTTCCTTTTCGGCATATGTGTATAATGATGTACTACAAAGCTAGTGATGGTCCTTATTTGAATAACAATATAAATGCTTGCCTACCTCTCGAATGTAATGTGTGTCTTTGGCGTTCAGCTCCCATCTTTTACACGTTTTTATTTTTAAAATAATAATAATATTAACTATATAGTAATAATGATAACAACAACAACAACAACAACAATAATAATTCAATGAAGATCTTTTGTCCTTGGTTTCGGGTAAGCTTAAACGACGTTGGCATTTTAAAATTATTCCGTCAATAAAATTAATAGTTCTCAATTCCTTTAACTACCTGCTCTCCATATATCTCCTCTTTTTTTTTCAGGTAACTGATTTAGCAGTGCCAAATCGATGATCTAAGGAGTACTGGAGTCAGGTTTAGGGATAGATAGATTTGGACATGAATCATCAATTTTACCAACAGAGTACCATTGGCGCCACGAGACATAATATGACCCCAAAATCTAAGGACAATCTAGTCTTTGTCATAATGATGATGATGATGATGATGATGATGATGATGATGATGATGATGATGATGATGATGATGATGATGATGATGATGATGATGATGATAATAATAATAATAATAATAATAATAATAATAATAAGTAAAGCCTCAACTTATAGGTTTTTCCCGTACGGGTCCACACGTATTTATTTTCATAATTCACCAAGGGGGAAATGGATTTTGAATGGAAACTTTTATTAAAAAAGGTGAAATTGAAATTAACTATTCACATTCCAAAATAAAGAATTAAGAACAATACTAGGTTCACAAACAGAATATTGACAATTAAACTTTACAAACTTACTATTTGTGGTTTAAAATTTCATTTTAAAATCATTTTAGACCATTTAATTATTTTCATTGAAGTTTACAAATAGTAAATTTGTAATGTTTGTGACCATTATATTTGTGAACCAAGCATTTTCCAAGAATTAACTATTCCATACATAATTACCCCTCAGAATTTGAAGATTTGTCAACTACAAATACATGCACGAATAATTATTTTCCTTTTTAGACATATGTAACAAATGTGGTACATAACTAATGCTAGAGCTCATTTGAATAACATTATAAATGCTCACATACCTCTCATATGTGATGTGTCTTCCAGCTCCGATCCCATGACTTGCACGTTTTTATTTTCATAATAATAATAATAATAATAATAATAATAATAATAATAATAATAATAATAATAATAATAATAACTATAATAAAAATGAAGATAATAATAATAATAATTAAAACCTCCAATTCCAGGGTTTTTTAGTACCGATCCGCACATACATGTTTATTTTCAACATACAAAGAAGGAGAAATGAATTTTGAACTAAAAAAAATTACTCATTCTGTTAACATTCGATCTTTAATATTTTTTCTCTTTACCAAAACACATCCACTTTTTATTAAAAATATTCTATCCATACGTTAACAGAGGCAGTATCAAATTATTGCATTTTATTACTCCCTAATTGATAAATTCATATTCTCTGTGTTTTGGAAAACTTTATCCGTTTGATTTTAAGAATATTAAAATATTAATAGGAATATTAATTATAATAATAATAATAACTATAATAAAAATACAAGTAATAAAAATATAAATAATAACAATAATATTTAAAATAATTATAATACTCATAATAATAATAATAATAATAGTAATGATAATATTAATAGTAATAGTAGTAATAATAATACTAATAATAAAAATAATAGTTAAAATAATAATGGTAATGATAATTGTAATAATAATAACCATAATAATAAGAATACTAAAAAGATAATAATAATAATAATAATAATAATAATAATAATAATAATAATAATAATAATAGAAATATTTATAATAATAATAGAAATAGTAATAATAATTATAATAATATTTTTATTACTATTATTAATCGAAGTAGTAATTATAATAATAATAGTAGTAATAATATTAATAATAATATTAATATTAATAGTAATAATAATAATAACAATAGTAATAATAATTATAATCATAATATTACCTCCGTCCTAGTGTATTTGTCCAGTTTGATTTTTTCGATTCAAACTGGGCAAACTTTGAACTTCAATTACTCTCAATTTATATTGCATATTAACCCAATGAAATACAATTTTGAAAATTCTCAATGTGATAAATCCAATAAAGTCATTTTTATGTTAAGATACATTATGATTTTTATTTAATTGAAGTTCAAAGTTGATCCAGTTTGATTCAAAAAAGTCAAACTGGGACGGAGTGAGTATATAATAGTAATAGTAATATGAATATGAATAATAATAATACTAATTGTAATAATAATAATAATGTTTAGATCTGATTTGATTGGACCTGATCTGATCTGATTAGATCTGGTCTAATTTTAATAAAAATAAGTAATAAGCAGAAAAAATAAGTTGAACAAAACGCTACCTAAATGATACTTGAATAATGTCTAGTGGCGGGAATAATGTCTAGTGATGAGAGACATTTAGTTTGAACAATATCTAATTGCAGTGGGTATTTACTTATGACCATTGGACATTGAACCGTTATACTACATTAGAAAATAAAAACATATAGTACTATATTAAGACAATTATTATGTCTTAGTACTATTTAGCTAAATTGACTAAAGAAGCAAGCTGGACTGCTTGGACATGCATAAATACAAAAAGACGTTTGTGTATCCGTGTATGTATTAAATTGACTAAAGGGAGAAGTACCATAATAACACTAATATAGCCCTGTAATCCTTTATATATAATATTTGAGAGTTGAACTCTCAGAATTGCGACATTTGGCGTGCTGACTGGAACTTTTTTAGACACTTCATCAGCCACGTCATCAAAATCGACTTCCTCAATATTTCAAACGGGTTGGCTTTCTAGAATTGTGACATGTGGCGTGCTTATTAGACAACCTTTTTAACACATCAGCATGTCATGTTAGCAAGTAATGTTTAAAAAATAGTTAACAAAAAAACTTATTATGCGGAAATTAAATTTCATATTTGTTACACACAAATTTCTCCATATAAATGCGTTTAAAAACTTTTATATTTTCATTCATAATTGGAAAATATTTAAATTAAATAGTATATTTTGAAATTTAAAAAAAACACCTATTCAAAAACTATAATCAAAACAAATAAATTTACTTTAAGAACGGATAGATTGGTAGGACTAAACGAAATTACATTTGATTTTTTTGCTTTGAATTAATACGAATTGGAGAGATTTTCTAATTATTTTAAAATAAGAAACAAATATATAAAAGGAAATGTATTTTTATGGGCACGCTTATTTAATAGAGCATTAATTTTATTCCGTATATATAAAAAATTCTAAATCAAATAAAAAGTACGTTCCATTTTAAAATTAGTATTTTCCATTTTAAAATTATTGTTTTCCAGGTATAGCTTTGTAAAAATTTACATGTAACAAAAATTATCATTTTCATTTATAACTTTGTAAAATGATCAAGACTTGATAAGTGAGTATTTATGTGTAAGAAATTAAATATTAATTGGTGTTCCTAATCGAAATATTTATGCTATAATATTAATTGTTATAAATGTAATTACTTTTATATTTAATTCTTAAAAAATATAAAGTGTGCTAATTATTTTGACATCTATGTCAAAATAATATAAGTAAGTAATATTC